CACCCCTACTAGCTGGGCTGATCAGCCTTATATGCAGCTGGTCATGTGACCATACAACCATGTCAGAACAGAATGATCTCATTTGGCTTTTTTTGTGGTAAAGAAATGGAGTAGAGGATTTTATTTTTAAATAAAGTAAAAAAATAAAAGTGAATTTCACTTTAACCCGGTAACGTTTGTCTCTGTTCAGAAAACGCCGCTGCAGAAGCTAACGCCGCTCCAGAGCCGCATGAGGAGCCCCCGCAGGCCGAGGCAGCCGCCGCAGGTCTACCATCCTGCCGCCGGAACCCCCCAGGGGGCAAATCCAGCCTCATCCTGGGCTAGATGCCCCACGACTCCCCTCCCCCCTCCTCGCCTCCCACCATCTTGAGCTCATCTTTTTGTTTTTTTTCTTCTCTAAAGAACAGAAATCGCCCAAACTTCAGGAACCATCTAAAGTCCAGCAGACCCCCCCCTCCCTCCTCCATATCCCAAGTGCATTGTTTTGATACCTGTTTTTGGAAAGCTGTTTTTGTACTGTTTTTCTTGTTTATTTTAACAGAAGCACTTTATGTACTCCTCTTTTTATGGTTGGATGGGACCTTTGCCCTGGAATTAGTGAAGCCGCAAACGGTGCAAAGCTCACTTTTTTTTTTTTTTTTTTTTTACAGCGTCATAAATCGTCCTCCGTCACGTTGAATATCGCAGTAACACCCGCCGTCCACCGTTTTTTCTTTCCCTCCCATCATGCATGCTGGTCTGGTCTGTATGAATGCAAAGAAAACTTTACTCTGTAGATTTTCTTACATTAATTTAGCCTCTTATTTTTTTTTTATTAGTGAAATCTTTGTTGTATGTTTGTTGCATGAAGTTGAAGTCTTTGTACTGAATGTAGTATTAAAACTCCGCTGAAGCCACATGATTAGACCCTAAAAGATGTAGGAGGAACTTTTCATCCCGTGTGATTTAAAAAATAAACAGATTAGATTTTTTAATCACACTTAGATTATCGTCGCCCTTTGCTCCACGTTTCACTCATCAGCTCGACCTGAACGGCGCCACACCGCTAATCCCCTGAAACACCCAGATTTTTTTTTAGGTGTTCTTGGTCCTGACTTCTAAGCGTATCTTAGATTTGAAAAGTGACCTTACGACAGCCCGGCCTTCCTCTCACCCGCTTCATCTCGCGTTTTTCCCGCTCCGTAAAATACGAGAACAATCGTTTTGTACATCTTAAGTGAAAGTATTCAGTCCTGTGTGTCCATCAGCTGTCATTCAAGGAAAAACAAAAAAAACAGCCAAACATTTTCGATACACGACGTTTCCTGTGATGTTTATTTTTCAGCATTTCTCATGTGAGACGTTTCTGTTTGCATCCTAAACAAACTGGTCATGCTGGATGGAAGTCACTGCAGAAATCAGAATTGATGAAATGGCACAAGTGGAACTGACCATTAAAGATCAGTTTTGACCATGAATTGTTTTTTCTGTCTGCTTTATTGATTTTGATATTTTTATTAAAGGGAAAGTCCGGTCGGTAAGGAATGGATCATTATCTATACCTAAAATTAGCGTTAATCTGTACAAAAAGAAAAAAAACTTTTGTCACAATGACTGAG